ATATATGTCGTACGAATAGGCAGAACTTGCAATCTTGGCTTAAATAGCAACGCTCATCTTGCCATATAGGACAAGTGAAAATTTGTGTATGCAATAATTTCGCCAAAATCATTCTGAACCTAACTAAAAAAATATATTTCACTGTGTTTGTTTAGTATTAAATTATTGTAAACAAATCTAAAATATATTTAGTTGGGTTAGGCTAAAATAAATTGTTCTTGTTATAATAAGGTTAGGTAAGTTTTCTAAGATTCTTTTGGAGCAAAATTAAAAAATTTTGCATTAACATTAATGAAAAAATATATCTTTAAACGTATAAGAGAAAATTTTAGAAAGGACTTAATTTTAAATGAGTTCTTGCTAATTGACCAGTTTTACATATTCGGCACGACATATATATATATATATATATATATATATATATATATATATATAATATATAAATATATATATATATTATATATATATATATATATATATATATATATATATAGCTACAGACAGAAAAACCTGTTTTTATTTTCTTATAAATAATATAAACAATTATATAAACACTCACAAAAGATAAAAAAAAATGAATGAAATATACGTCTCGAATACAGCAGATGGAAGAGTGGACCACTTCACACAACGGGACAGGTAGGTACAGAGCCAACACAAAGTTCAGATGAGCAAGTGAGAGGAGCTAGAGCCTCAAAATCAGAAGCTTATTTTTCCGCAATACGTCCGTCAGCCCTCACAGCTTGGGTAATCAACTCCCAACCTGTTGGCTAAAAGAAAAAAATATATATATAGTTCACCTGATGGTCAGCTAGACACAAGATGCGGCTGAAGATCGTGAAGAGATGGACGAAATTAGAAATTACGTTAACTCTAAGGAAATCAGTATTGGCACCCACTGACTGACAGCCAATACAATCTTAAAGCCAAAATCATAATCAGTGTAGTATTCATGAAGGATATAAATACATTACGTGTTCAGGAGCTTACTGGAGTGTGAAGCGAGAGGATTTAGCCAGGACACTGTCAAAAAGTTGGAAAAATATAAGAAAAGAAATTACTTGCATCACCAGGCCAATCACACTGTAAGTCAGTGACCTGATTCATAGGTAGCGCTAACAGACACACTGTGAGTCAGTGACCTGATTCATAGGTAGCGCTAACAGACACACTGTGAGTCAGTGACCTGATTCATAGGTAGCGCTAACAGACACACTGTGAGTCAGTGACCTGATTCATAGGTAGCGTTAACAGACACACTGTGAGTCAGTGACCTGATTCATAGGTAGCGCTAACACACTGTGAGTCAGTGACCTGATTCATAGGTAGCGTTAACAGACACACTGTGAGTCAGGGACCTGATTCATAGGTAGCGCTAACAGACATACTGTGAGTCAGGGACCTGATTCATAGGTAGCGCTATCAGACACACTGTGAGTCAGGGACCTGATTCATAGGTAGCGCTAACAGACACACTGTGAGTCAGTGACCTGATTCATAGGTAGCGTTAACAGACACACTGTGAGTCAGGGACCTGATTCATAGGTAGCGCTAACAGACATACTGTGAGTCAGGGACCTGATTCATAGGTAGCGCTAACAGACACACTGTGAGTCAGTGACCTGATTCATAGGTAGCGTTAACAGACACACTGTGAGTCAGGGACCTGATTCATAGGTAGCGCTAACAGACACACTGTGAGTCAATGACCTGATTCATAGGTAGCGTTAACAGACACACTGTGAGTCAGGGACCTGATTCATAGGTAGTGCTAACAGACATACTGTGAGTCAGGGACCTGATTCATAGGTAGCGCTAACAGACACACTGTGAGTCAGGGACCTGATTCATAGGTAGCGCTAACAGACACACTGTGAGTCAGGGACCTGATTCATAGGTAGTGTTAACAGACACACTGTGAGTCAGGGACCTGATTCATAGGTAGCGCTAACAGACACACTGTGAGTCAGTGACCTGATTCATAGGTAGCGCTAACAGACACACTGTGAGTCAGGGACCTGATTCATAGGTAGCGCTAACAGACACACTGTGAGTCAGGGACCTGATTCATAGGTTGCGCTAACAGACACACTGTGAGTCAGTGACCTGATTCATAGGTAGCGCTAACAGACACACTGTGAGTCAGTGACCTGATTCATAGGTAGCGCTAACAGACACAGTGAGTCAGTGACCTGATTCATAGGTAGCGCTAACAGACACTGAGTCAGGGGTCTGAATCACAGTAGCGCTGAGACACTCCTACAAGAGTAGTGGAAAACAATGCCATGGCACTAGCATTCATCTTAACATTAACATTAATACCTTAATACGAGCTCTTCCCTCACAGTGTGAAGTATATCAGTGAATTTTACTTTTTCCAACTCTACCGTAAAACGTTTTGTGATGTAAGGGCGATATTTGAATAAAAAAATACCATACTTATTTCACTGTTTTATTCACGGTTCATCTCTTTAAATGGGGTGCCTTTATGCTGATCAAGAGCTCTCGATATGAGGAATTGGAGCTACCCTTTTCGTTCCCAAATCAAACCTAATTAACTCCTGTGTCGTGAGCCGAGTGAGAGAACCAGTGTAATGAAAGGGGCGGTAGGTTCTGGCTGTGATGTCGGTTCTGCTTTTTCAGGGTGCTGAGAGGGGGCTCACGAAAAAGCTACCTCGCATGTTGGGGCGGCCCTCAACCATTAAGACCCCCACGAGTATCGAGAGGGTTAAAACCATGCCAAACCCCATCTTAAGTCTGGGTGTTGAAGGTGAGAGTTCTCATATGTATGATGACTCTCCCTATAAACTTACATAGAGTATAGTGTTTGTTGTACTCACTGTATTTAGCATAAATATTTGCACATAAGTTTGGTGGTGGAAATTTATGATAAATTACAAACTAACCTATGGCGAAAACCTTACTCCTCATTTTCCTGATGTCTCTAATTTACTGCACTAAAGTTGGTGTCTTGCACAGTCAGACCTGTGAAAGTTCTTGTGTTCATGTCACCTCTCATTCCCAAGGTACTGCATGGCCCCGCTATGTGCTTATTGCATCCACAGGAATATAATTTGAACGGGAACTGTATCCCCGTATTGCATAACCCCAGCTCCCACGAGAAAGGCATCGAGCAGAGTACGGCATATGTTTGTAATATAGGTAAATATTAGCATTGACGATTTTAAGGGAAGAGTCATTCAAAAATTATCACATGGAAATTAATGTCTCAATTTCTTTAATAAAGAAAAAATAAAAAATTAGGACACAGCCCAACAGACATTCAAACTTTCCACCAAGAAAGACTAACTTTAATTAAAGTTTAGAGACAAACTGAAGAGGCATTCTGTAATTATCTCACATAGAGCAATATCCCATAATATACTAACACTAAGTTTGAAGCCGCTTAGAAGTTGCATAATTAGGTTTAAAGGTTGAAGGTTTGAAGCCAATCAGATGAGGAGCTCACAAACTATCTTATCAAAACTTGTGAATAACAATGTATAACTCACCGGCCTGCGAGTGTTACATTTCACTCGCCATGGCTTTAAACTGCGTTTGTTTTCAGATTTGTTTTCATCCGTATTACTATTATTTCGTGAGTCACACTACTTCACATGCCATGATCAACAAGTGAAAATATCTTTAATATCTTCTGTGTTTTCGCAGGAGTTAGTGTAAAGGCAAACACAATCTAGATTGAAATAATGTCTTGCTACCTGACATTGACACCTGAATTTGGGATGGGTACAAACGCTTGCCAGCGACCGAGACTCCAGCGATCAATACTGATACACACACACACAAAGATACGAAGGTGGTAGCAGGTGTTTTTATGTTGTGGGAGGAATGTGAGAGGGAAGTGTTCACTAGGGTGTTAAACCACCAGGGATCACGAGCAGAAAATAAAAGGTAACTGTTAATCAGTTGGTCATGTTTTTATCTCTGACTTTTACCCATAGAGTAATGAAAGAGGGGAATAATAAGAGAGGAGACCACTTAGCAAAGCGTGTTTGAAGACCAAGAAGAAGAGGAAAACACTCTTGGGGTTACGTCCTATTACATTTTCACGCTCCTTTACTATTCCCTAGTCACACTCCCCCTTTCACTATTCTCCCCACCACTCCCTATCACTGCTCCTCCTTCACGCCCCCTTTCACTATTCTTCCCACCACCCCCATCCTCCTGGGAGATAAGGGGACACACCTGAATCTTTATATGACTCCTGATATTTTAATCACCTCATATTTTCTGGAAAAAGACATTTTTATGTCTTACCCAGAACTTGAGAACCCACTCGAGTATGGTTCAAGGACTCACCTTCTGCTCCAAGTGGCATGTTTACTCCAGAACCCCTGAGGAAGAGGAGAGCCCAGGACTACTTAGGAAGATGGAGGCGTTGCAGCCTCAGGAGCAGGGACACACCTCTCATCTCTGCTCTCAGATGATGATGCACAAACATGCCTGATGTCCACTTCCTGGTCTGCCGACTTTTCTACAGCAACGAAGTTTATTTATGATTTATTGTTCGAGTGTCCTATGACTATTTTCTTTGTATTCTGAAGACGGTTGGCAGGTTTTTTCCTTCTCTCCCACAGGGCACTGTGACTTCTTTTTGCACACGTTAGTGAAGAAACAGGAGTACCTTATTGAGAACCAATGATCGTACTGTTGACAGAAGCAGCTTCTTAGTGCAAAAACGTTTCGCTCTGCGTAGAATTTAATTAAGCCATGGCTTGATGGAGCACTACACAGAGCGAAACGTTGTTCCAATGAAACCTCGTTCGTCAACATGTGTCAT